TTCAAACCTTGTCAGATGGATATTTACAAGGGGAAAGCAGTTTGTCTTTGACAACCTTCGCGGCATGAATAAGTACTTCACTCTGTGGTTGTTGTTAATGGTACTCCTGAGTCGCCCTAGATGTTTAAGTAAGAACTCTTACAACGATGGTGAGTTTTGACTCTGTCAGATATGGATGAACAGCTAATTTGATTATCTAACTAGAGGCAAAGCAATGCCAATGAAAAGATAGAGAGTAAAGAGGACAGCTTTCTGTTCGAGTTTTGGTAAAGGTGACGAGTTAGGACCGTTCAAACTACTCTTATCTGTGTTTTGCTTTATCCAGTAATTGGTGCTCTTTTAACCGTGAACCAAACTGGCGTTTGGTCTGTCCGATGTATTCGTTGTCACAGTCATTGCAAGGAATAGAATAAATTCGGTTCGTTGTTCTTTCGTGACAGGATCCTTAGGTTTGGCGAAAATATGCCCCAAAGTCTGAAAAGGTTTTTGAGCAACTTTAACGTTGTGGCTATTTAAAATTCTCTTGAAATCAAAAAATAATTGTTTGGAGGCTTGGCACATTAACTCCGCCCACGCTCCTTTAAATCGTGACGATGGCGGTCTGCTTCCTGACGCCTATTTACACCTCGTCAGAAAAAAGGCCGCTAATTAGTGATCATATAAAAGGACTTCTTGTTGCAGCGTTTAGATCACCCCTGATGAAGGCACTAGACAGGAGTGTCGAAACGTTGGGTCTATGAATTGTAACTTCTTCGGTTACATTCATTAAATCTGCAAACCAGTGTAGCATCAAACTATGTCTGAAAGTTATTCGAAATAAACATCGAAACTGTCAACGCAGTTGTTTTCAGTTTACTTTTTTTTTCCTTTCAGGTTGCCCGATGGAAGATGGTTTTGTTCCTTTTGACAGTAAGGAATTCAATTTCATAAGCTACTTAAGTAATGCTCGAGAAAGGTTCACTGGACGGCGCTGGCTCTACAATGAACTGGAAACGAATTTGATGAAACAGGATACCGATCGTGG